AAAAGCTGCCTAATGTCTTATGAGCAGTACCATCTATTTAGTTCGTCTAGTTCTTGTCTAGTGCATACAGGTTGAATAGAAAAAAAGAACTACTATAATATATACACATTTACACCCTAGGGTTTTTATCATACTTAACAAATTCTTGTGGTATTTTTACTTAACAGTATTTTGTATAACATTACATGATTATGCAAATATGTAACTTATGTTCGTTTAGGTCTATTTGTCGAGCTTATCACTTGAAATGGTCAGATATATTAACTGCTACATTTTCATGCTGTGTCCATAGCAACAAACCTAGAAACAGCATTTATAGACATTTTAACCCTTATTTTTTTAGCTCTAATTCTTGTCAAGTTTCTTGTATAGGGTTATGGCTTAAAATTTAACCCTTTTTTAATGGCACCCATTGCGTAATGAAAAGTACACAAATTACATTTTTTACCAGATTGGATGCTTTTATCACATTTTGAATGATTCTGATGTTGTTCTGCCCTTAACCACTGCACCATAACTAATGAGGGATGGAATCCCCCGAAACCGGTATAACTCAATGACAAGTGATGAACCCAATAATAGATTGGGTTTTTCTTGTTGTGTGTCTTCTTAAGCAGAAAGCTACATAACGGGTTATCTGTGCTGTGCCTATCATGGGTATCGAAACCCGCTTTTCAGCGTTATAAGCCTTCAACTTATCTCTGAACCACTGGGGGGACCGTTTTATAGATTGGGCTTCATATTCATTTTCAGTTATTTGCCTCATGTTCAATTTCTGCAATTCCTTCGTTTTATTTTTTTCATCCAATTTTACTCGAAGCCCATGTGTATTTTGTGCTTTACGTTAAAATTTTACTTTTCATCCTGCGCATCACCTAGCTTTCTCTTTATCATCTCCTTATACACTCGTTTTATTATTTTCCCTCGTTTCACAGAATGCTTTCACGTCACAGTCTGTCTTCCACTTTCTCTATTTGTGTATTGTTACTTCCCGTCTTTTCTTGCTAAGTGTTTCTAGCAGAATACAAAATTTGTATGCGAAGGTGAGCTTCGTGTCAAGCACATGGTAAGTGTTTAGATAACTCAGGAATTCTCGGAGAATCTATTCTTTTTCATTGACGCTAGAAGAGTTTTTACAAAGGGGAGGAGTGCCAAAACCCATTTAACGAAACTATAGTCCAACTAGGAAAGTACGCATTCTGTCGCTGTTATGTTAAAATGTGTTAATAAAATGAAGCCAGCATCAATACGTGTATCTGTTTAAGTACAAAGAATATTCATTTGTTTATTTCCTGTTAAAGACAAAGCTATACAATGAGCTGTGTCCACTATGGGTATCTAAAGCCGACTTGTAGCGTTAAAAGCTTCAGATTTACTGCTGAGCCACCAGGAGGGGGGGGGGGACATAAATGATTTAATCACAGTTCTAATCAAATTTACAACAGGCTTATCATAACATGATAAAAACCAACAAATCAAATAGTAAGCCAGGCTACTCTCAATGCCAGGCTTTTTTGAACTTCAATACTATGTACAAGTTTTCTTGAACTGGATGACGTCATATTTTCTAAAAGTGAACTACCAATAAATATCATGCAAAGGCACGACAAGAATACCAAAAAATATGGAATTTATATCATTAAATCAATTCGCACACTCATATAGCTTTGTGTGAACTATTGACAAAGATACAATGTCAAATGAGCTTTCTATCTCTAACACCATCAAGCGATGCATAGCACCCCCGAATCCTTGGTCCTTACTTCCTCTAGGAGATGACAATTCTGATAAATGAGTTGAAAAGAACCGAGAAAGGAACCAAATGCACCAATAGGAAATTACCAAAGCTGAGAATAACATAAGGCAGAGAAACTGAAAAAATATAAACTGAACACATTTCTGCAACTGGAGAAACGAAAAATATAAATAAATATATAAGAAGATACAAGTTTGAAGGAAAAATACTGGAAATTATACATATAAATAAATATATAACAAGATACAAGTTTGGAGGAAAAAAAATGGAAATTATACATATAAATAAATATATAAGAAGATACAAGTTTGGAGGAAAAAAATTGGAAATTATACATATAAATAAATATATAAGAAGATACAAGTTTGGAGGAAAAAATTGGAAATTATACATATAAATAAATATATAAAAAGATACAAGTTTGGAGGAAAAAAAATGGAAATTATACATATAAATAAATATATAAGAAGATACAAGTTTGAAGGGAAAAACTGGAAATTATACATATAAATAAATATATAAGAAAATACAAGTTTGGAGGAAAAAAATTGGAAATTATACATATAAATAAATATAAGATACAAGAAATTATACGAATGGGGGAAATACGAATAAATATTTCGTTAGTAGTTATAAAGAAATGTAGGAATGATTTATTGAAGAGAAATTCAATATATTCGACTGAAAATTCTTGCGCAAGGATTTAATAAAATCAGTTGACAACTTCGACGTTCTAAAATACCCAATAATTGATTGTATAAAGTAAAAAAAGCAATAAAAATTTTTATTTTGGAACTTTCTACATTTTTCGGTGAAATATGATCCACCATTTTCATAAGACAAGAATGACACAGAAAATGTCTTTTACAGACCCAACTAAATGTACAAGTACAATTTGCACGTTGCAAGGTGGTGAATATTTACAAAACTGATTTGTGAAAATTCACCTCCATGAAACTAGGACCTAAATCTCTATTCAAAATCATTTTGTTTTTAGCAATTTCTAACGATTCGCTTATATTTAATTCATTTTTTAACTTTACTTTTTTAAGTATTTGTACACTGGACTGAGCATTATTTCAGAAGATTGTTTGTAATTAAGCACAAAGCTACACAATGGGCTATCTGTGCTCTGCCCACCACGGGTATCGAAACCCCGATTCTAGCGTTGTAAGTTCGCAGACATAACGCTGTGCCACTGGGGGACTAAGCTGTAAGATAGCATGATGGTTATGGAGGAGTGTATTGGATGGTGGCGCCATCTGAAAACACCTAATTATATTCGGTAGTAATTAAATCAGCCTCGTTACTATAAGTCAAACCATCATGAATTATAGGATCAGTTTGAGCTCCCTTGAGTCTGTTCCAAGTGTAAAAATGAGAAGGGGATAGTGAGTATTCTTCATTACAACATTGCATCACTTCCAGTAGAATGAAGACTTAAAATGAAGTCAGACCTAATTTCTGGGTATAATCTTCCGTGAAGGATAATGTTTGGGAGAACTATCGGGCTATTGCGAGCGGTCATCTTCCAATTGTAAGTTTTCCCATAATAGCCATCTATGCTCGTGACATACAACGTCATTAATCACAAAAGCTTGATCCCCGTGAAACAATGTCAGTCTTAATGTTGTCCAACAGTTCAAAGCAGGGTCATGCGCGGAAGTAGCAATAGGACTGTGTCTTTCGACACCAGATGGCTTGTGTCCCATACATGATTGATAACTGTGTTTGCTTTGAAAGTGTTGTGTAACGCTCAATAGTTTAATACCACGTGATAGCTCGATTTCAGGGTTATTTAATTTTATGAATCGAAGACAAAACTCTTGACGCCCTGTTACCCAGATTAGAGTCAATTAGTTGATAACTGCATTTGGCGAGAATAACTTTGGCAGCTTAAGTGATGAATGCCTTACTTAAAAAACAACAGCATTTGAGCTAAGGTAATACATATATTCTTTCATTTCTACTTTCAACCACTAGATGTCGTAAAGTACTGCTTCTGCTGTGGAATTTATTTGATTAATGAGACAATGAATAGTTCAAGGTTTGTTTGTTTATAATTAACCACAAAGCTATACAATGGGCTATCTGTGCTCTGCCCAACACGGGTATCTAAACCCTGATTCTAGAGTTGTAAGTCCACAGACATACCGCTGTACCACTGGGGGGCAGTAGTTCAAGGACACCCGAAGCATGTTAATTATACATAGTTTTTTTGTATGTTATAAAAAAAAGAAGATAAAGCAATAATAAAGGCAAATTACAACTCTAGTGGGGAAATATAGAAATATTTAGATTTTAATCATACCAAAAATTTGTGACAAAGCTATGTAAATAGAATACAAAAAAAGAGAATGGCATTTTACTGTCTCATGACATGTTTTGTTTTTTAATCTGTTCTCGTGAGGTATTTCATGAATAAATCATTTCAATTCATCCATCGCATATGTTTTAGTTTATTGTTTTTTATGTTTATATGTAAAACCATAAATCAAAACTGGAACAACACACGTGAAAAACTAAATCTATATCTAAGCTTAAACTAAGCAATTAGATAATTCCTCTTTGTTACATTTTCTTTCTTTTTTTATATGTATTTTAAATATTTCACTAAATATTTGATTTAAACATGACACCAGTTTCTTCAATGTTTATTATGACAAATGTTTGTATATATATATATATGTTGTATATATTTGTATACTTATGTATATACATATACATAAGTAAGAAATATATAAAAGGACCACCGAAATACTGGTTGGAAGCGGTTTCACAGCTTACAATACTCTTCAGTCAACCTAATTAAATATAAATAGATTAGCCCCCCCCCCAGTGGCACTGCGGTATGTCTGCGGACTTACAACGCTAAAATCCAGGTTTCGATACCCGTGGTGGGCAGAGCACAGATAGCCCATTGTGTAGCTTTGTGCTTAATTACAAACTAACAAAACAAATAGATTCTACTTTTTAATAAGATCAAAATGTTTATAAAACAAATACATCCCACTAATAATGGTTTAATAAAAATAAAAAGGAATTTTATGTTATTTCAAATCCATAAGCAGTTATTTTCATATTTTATAAATATTCATAGATATGTGCGTACTAACACACACACATACATACATTTATTTGTATTTTAACAAATAGGTTTGATTTGATTACCAATTGCTAGACTTTTTCTATAATATTTCTGTTGTTTTTTTTTTCTTGTAATCTTTTAGGCCCAGAAGATCAGTACATTGAAAAACAAAAAGTGGAACTCGGCCAACTTTAAACTGCACATCTTTTATAGGTTTCCTGAAACCTAATATTCTTTGGAAATTACTATGGATTACATAGATATCCAAGTGGAATCCCAAGACCTTACGGGAGAAGAAGAAGAGATTCAGACCACGACTGAGACGTTTTTGATCTCCACTTTGGGCCTACTTTGTAATGCTACGATTACCAATTTGTCTGACTGTAACATCAACGGCAGCGCCATATCAGGCATGCTCGCAAACATCGTAAATTCCCAGCTGGAACGGATTGTTAGCGTCGTGGTTCCCATTCTTTTCGGAATCATCGTAATAGTTGGTTTGATTGGTAACTCTTTGGTGGTCGTGGTGGTCATTTTCAACCCTCCAATGAGATCAACTACCAATTTGCTTATCATCAACCTGGCCGTGGCTGATCTCCTCTTTATCATCTTCTGCGTGCCCTTTACGGCATTTGACTATGCTTTACCGTACTGGCCATTCGGCGACATCTGGTGTCGTATAGTGCAATATCTGGTCATCGTTTGTGCTTATGCTAGTATTTATACTCTTGTACTAATGTCTCTGGATCGTTTCATGGCCGTCGTACACCCCATCACCTCGATGTCAATCCGCACAGAGAAGAACGCTTACATTGCTATCACAGTCACGTGGTCTTTGATCCTCTTAGCCTGCTTGCCTGCCCTCCCAGCTCACGGGGAAGTGTCCTACGATGTGGGGTCAAACAAGTACTCCATGTGTGTGTTTCTCCAGGAAGGCTACAACTACCCCGCTTACCAGATCTCCTTCTTCCTCTCCTCCTACGTGGTGCCGCTCGTTCTCATCTTCTGCCTGTATGTGATGATGCTGAAGAGACTATGGTTCCACGTGGCTCCGGGGGGCAAGATCAGCGCCGAGAGCCACAAGTCCAAGAAGCGGGTCACCAGGATGGTAGTGATAGTGGTCGTCATCTTTGCCGTCTGCTGGTGTCCCATTCAGATCGTCTTGCTTCTCAAAAGCTTGAACAAGTACGATCTGAGGGAACGACCAAGTCGAGTTGTATTCCAGGTGGCTTCGCATATTTTGGCTTACATGAATTCGTGTGTTAATCCCATCTTGTACGCCTTCTTGTCCGAAAACTTCCGTAAAGCTTTCCGAAAAGTAGTTACGTTCGTCCCTACCAGACGGCGATTGAAGAGCAGCAGACAGGCCTACGAACCTGCCGAACGAGAGACAGCAGGCACCAAAAACACCTCCGCTACGAAACTAAACAATGACATCATATGAGGGCCATCCTACGCAATCCTTGATTTTGTCTTCGATTTTACAATCCAGTCTCAATTTCATCTACCACCGTGTGCTTTCTTCTTGTGTCCCTTTGTCGTGTGCTCAAAGTAATTGTAAACCTTTATCATCAACATTCAATATTATATACTTACAAACAGTATAACGACTCAAGCTGATGCTCAAGCACCGTTACTGGTGATATGGTGACACAACGTTTAACTCATCTCGTCCGATACATACTTATGTGTTGGTGTTTTAATATCTATTACTGACAGTTCAACGTCACACTGAACAAGATCGTAACCAATGAACTGATGGATTCTCCGACTTCCAGAGAATGAAATGACCAAATATGGCGATTTCAATGTTACTTATCTAACTTCAAGAACGAGTACGCCCTTCAGAAGAACGATTCCTAAAACAGATCGTTACAATTGTATCAGAGCCATAAAAATAAAATCATAAAAGAACAAAAATTCAGCATTTTTAGATTCGTCAAGATTTTCCTGCTTACTTAGTTAGCTTCAATAATTCATTTTGTTAAAACTTAAACTCGTAAAATATTTACCATAATGTCAACAAACACCGTGTTCGAAGCACCGAGAAAAAGTTTCATAAGTGACTCGAGTTTGAAAACCAAGGTTAAAATCAGGCTACTATTGAGTGGCAGTGATAATACTGTTTAATTACAAGACTGTTGGGCAGTGATAATACTGCTTAATTACAAGACTTTTGGGCAGTGATAATGCTGTTTAATTACAAGACTGTTGGGCAGTGATAATGCTGTTTAATTACAAGACTGTTGGACAGTGATAATACTATTTAATTACAAGACTGTTGGGCAGTGATAATACTGTTTAATTACAAGACTGTTGGGCAGTGATAATACTGTTTAATTACAAGACTGTTGATTGCACATAGAAATGGTACGTAAAAAAAACTGTAATAACCTTTGAGAGATGTCGCTTATATTCTAACTATCGTTATTTTGAAAGAAATGGAAGGAAATGAAAGATGAAATTCATAGCATTGATAATACGTATGGATGGAAACGATAAAATATCCATTGTACGTGTATAAATATTATATCGAGGAGTTTAATTGATATTTCTCTTGTCGTTCCCTTATTTTGTATAAGTGATAGTGAATTTCTATATTAAATGTTAACGTAAGTATTGTTGTTGTTATTATAAAGAACTTAAAATGATATGTAAGTATTGTTGTTGTTATTATAAAGAACTTAAAATGTTATGTAAGTATTAAGCTCTTGTAACTTCTGTATCACGTAAGTGATGAATTGAGGGTTGAAAAGATATCTCTCTTTAATGATTTGGTTTCCTCGTAAAAATGGGGCTCTACGTGAGAAACCAATCTGACTGAAGAGATTAATGACGTCAGAAGGTAAGGTCGATTATTCTGAGGTTAGAATATATCAAAATTGGACAACGTTGGAAAATCCCGAATAAATAAAATAGAGAATCTGATGACATCCGTTTCGTCATATAGTGATCTGTATCTGTTATTTATGTAGGTGTTTATCTTCTGTACCTTGTTGGCTGCATATGTAGTACAATATAGACTGTTTTTCTGTAGAAACTGCTTAGAAATAAAGCGCTTCAGTTACACTGTATCACTTCCGAAATTTCTCGCGTGTTGTTTGATCCAGTCTCACATTATCTCATTTAAAAAAATGATTATTTTGTTTGAAGTTAAGCACAAAGCTACACAATGGACCATCTGTGCTCTGCCCACCACGGGTATCGAAACCCGGTTTCTAGCGTTGTAAGTCCGCAGACATACCGCTGGGAGGCAAAGGATGAGGACTTGTGCAAGTTTACATTAGTTGCTTACGAAATATACTGACAGGATAAACACGAAAAGGTACATAGATATAAACTTAAACACTACATTAAAGTTTCATACAAAAAAAGGCCTGGAATGGCCAGGTAGTTAAGGCCCTCGACTTGCAGTCTGCGGATCTCGTGTTCCCAATCCTCGTTACCGAACATGTTCGCCCTTTCAGCCGTGTGAGGGCGTTATAATGTGTCGGTCAATTCCACTATTCGTTGGTTAAAAAGTAGCCCAATAGTTGGTGTTGACTAGCTACCTTCCCTCTATAACTACTGAATTAGGGACTGTTAGGGCAAATAGTCCTCGTGTATCTTTGCGCGAAATCCTAAAATAAATCTAACAGAAAAGAAGTATTGATCTACACACACGTTTGAAATATAATACCAAAAAAATAACAAAATAAGTAAACAATTTATTAACGGTGCAATAGCCACTCTTTCATCCAAAACTAGAATAAGTCTCTGAACGATATCGAGTGCAATATTGGAAAAAGAAAAGTGCTTTTTTATGACATCAAGTTATCACCCAACAAAAACAAAGCTGAACAGTATCACCATCGCATATCGAGATATAAGTGTCAACAATACGATCTTATTATTATTCTTAACTTTGTTTAACGTAAACTGGAGCCCTCTTGTGGCACAGCGGTATGTCTGCGGGCTTATAACGCTAGAGTCCGGGTTTCGATACCCGTGGTGGGCAGAGCACAGATAGGCCTTTGTATAGCTTTGTGCTTAATTACAAACAAACAAACGCAAACTGTAGTTTATTACGAAACACTGCTATAAACGTAAATAAAATCACGACCTATATCCCCAGAATGTAGCTTTATTAGCTCAATATTTCGCTATTACAGCTTCATCAGGGGCTATCGATATCTTATAAGTTCACTAAACCAATTGAGATTTAATTAAGATATCGATAGCTCCTGACGAAGCTATGATAGCGAAATATTGAGCTAATAAAGCTACATTCTGGGGATATAGGTCGTGATTTTATTTACGTTAATACGATCTTATTGTTTTGCTTTTTCAAAGTGTTATTTTAGTTGAAATAGAGAAAACGTTTGATCATTATCAGTATCGCTATGATCTCTACCTCATACAGCAACTAACTCATCATGATCGACATAAGGAGCGTTTATCGTTGGTATTTTGTTAATTTTATATGATATAACACGACGTTTCTTGAGGGAATCACTGCAATAGATATTTCAATAAAAATGTATTGCAACTTTCTTCATTCCAAGTAAAGAAACAGCTGAAGTGTTGTGGATGTCGCCTCTATTATAGATTGTTAACCACTTCCTTATTGTATATAACTCACCTATTCATCAAACTTTCAAGATTTCTTAATGTACGTCGAAAATATACGATGTTACAAATCGTTTTAACAAATTTTGTTGGTGTTTATGTATGATTATTAAATTCAGTCACACAGTTAGTTATAGTAGTTATCATCATCTTGTAGGTACTGATTTAAAAAGCCTTAAAATGTAGTCCGTTACAGAAGAGATTACTTCATTCACGAGCAGTTCTTAATTATCGATGAGGGGTCATATGGACTCCATTGAATTTTTGAACACATGTTCATGAACTGTGGATTCACCAGGTTGTTTGTCAGCCCATGACTTGGGCCTCTAATATCATGAGTCATGCAAAAAAAAAAAAATACCATCAGTATTATAATTAATCCTACTAATTACTATTGGTTTTGTTTTCCGTTTTACATGGAAAATGAGTAATTTCACCTTTTAATTTTTTTATTTTGGCCAGTTTTTACAATGAGTGTTATAACAAACAAAATCATAAAATTAATCAATATGTAGGTCCGAATGATATTGAGCAGAATAAAAACAAGTCGGTAATTTTAAGAGCTGCCCCCGCCTCCCCCCGGTGGCTCAGCGATAAATCAATGGGCTTATAACGCTAAAAATCGAATTTCGATATTCTTGGTGGGCAGAGCACAGATAGCTCATTGTTTAGCTTTTTATTTTAGAACAAATATAACAATGCAATTTGAGGATGAAATGATAAGAGAATGAAAAGTCTTACTGGGGATTTCAAGCAAAGGCAGCAACAAAAATATCCTTATCATAAAAGAAGAATAAAATTTAGCTTAGAAGGAAAAATATATCTTCGAGAGATATCCGACTTTACTGGAGATAAGGAACACAGGAAAGACATTATATCTTGAAAAGTATCCGACTTTACTGGAGATAAGGAAAACAGGTTTCTTGTTTTCCTTATTTCCAGTAAAATCTGATATCCCTCGAAGATATAATATCTTTGATATTATATCTTCGAGGGATATCAGACTTTACTGGAAATAAGGAAAACAGGAAATATATCTTGAGAAGTATCCGACTTTACTGGAGATAAGGAAAACAAGAAAGATATTATATCTTCGAGAAGTATCCGATTTTACAAGAGATAAGGAAGACAAGAAATATATTATATCTTGGAGGGATATCCAACTTTATTGGAGATAAGGAAAACAGGAAAGCCATGTGCGTCTTGGAGGGATATCCAACTTTATTGGAGATAAGGAAAACAGAAAGCCATGTGCGTCTTGGAGGGATATCCAACTTTATTGGAGATAAAGAAAACAGGAAAGCCATGTGCGTCTTGGAGAGATATCCAACTTTATTGGAGATAAGGAAAACAAGAAAGCCATGTGCGTCTTGGAGAGATATCCAACTTTACTGGAGATAAGGAAGACAAGAAATATATTATATCTTGGAGAGATATCCAACTTTACTGGAGATAAGGAAGACAAGAAAGCCATGTGCGTCTTGGAGAGATATCGGATTTCACAGAAGAGTTTCAAGATGAAACATTACCCTGCGTAAGTTTATTTGAAAAACCAACCAAATATAAATGATTCATGACCGTGTTTACGATGAATATGTTACAAAACTAAGGCACAATATCAAATATTCAAATGGAATTTTGAATTTTTATTTTCACACACTAATACAAAGCAATTGAAGCTGTTTCATGCGCTAGGCTTCTTTTTTTTCTCCCTTTTTCGATTTGTTATCAAACGTTTCTCCCATCTTATAAGAATCGAACATTCCTGAGACAACTGAAAATTGGTTCGATTTTTGGCTTTGTTTGTATCTCTATTTATTGAATTTCTGGCAAAGCCACACGAGGGCTATCTACGCTAGCCGCACCTAATATGGAAGTGATAGACTAGAGGAAAAGAAACTATTTAATACCGACAACTCTTGGGTTACTCTATCACCAACGAATAAAAGGATTGACTGAAACATTATAACATCCCAAAGCTGAAAGGACGAGAATGTTCAGTGACGGAATCGAGGGTTGGCATCTTGTGTGACAGCCTCAACATATGAAAATCATCTTATATGATCAGGTATTACATGGTTTTCCTCAAGAATCTGTCTTTGATCACGTTTATTACATTGCCCTTTATAAGCTGTGTTACAGAAACGGGTACAGACTGATATTCCGAAAAATTCCCGCCACTACTACCGGAGTTTGCTTTATACTTCTTAGTGTTATTCAAAACTTTCGTCCTGTTTCTATAACAACTAGAGGGACACTCATTAGAGCGCATACCTCCGTAACGCAGCGTTGGTCATATTCGGCCCTAAAAAATATTAAAATGTGTCCATATGTCCGTCATTATCAACGGACACGGACCAGTTTTGGTAGGACAATGAGAAATAATATTCTACATAAGTCTACCAAGTTTCATCAAAATCTGATAATTTTTGACTGAGTTATAGTGTGAAAAAGCCGGTCCCTATGTTAACAGACAAGGAAAACTAATCACTTCTAAGTTGGGCCATAGTCCAACTTCTGTCTAAATCCATTCAGACGTTTTCGAGAAATCCTGCTGACAAACACACACACACACACACATAGTGGTGAGAAATATAACTCAGTGGCAGAGGTAATAATAATAATGGTATTATTATTATTATGAGAATTTTGACCTAATTTTCCAAAAGATTAAAAAGATTTAATTAGGGATAACAATAATATGTGTCTCTGGAATGATTACAAATATACATCAAAATGTTATCAGCTTATGTCCCTAATATGCCATTATACACATACTACTGTTTATGTACCTGGATGAACATTAGGCCTACATGTGTAATTGCTTTTAACGTTCAGTTTTCGGGATATTGGTCCTTTGGAATATCAGGCTGTAACCAGAGTAACAGTCATTTTCACCAATTCGATATTCTTTCTTAACTGAGTAATATGATTTTGAACACGATTAAACGAAATTGTATTAAACATTCTAGAGCTTTTCTTTATTAAGACGTGTTTTTCTGATTATATTGGTGTTGGATTTTTTTTTAATATTTAAAGGCTTAGCATTCCCTTATTATGATTTCGTGTAATTACGTCTAGAGGCTTGTGCTTACTTTACTTAATGATATACAAAATCTTAGTTTTGTATCCATATGTAACGTGAATGTTGAATATGCGTTACTTAACATTAGTATGTATTTAACAACCATATTCCATAATCGATCTGATTGTTTTTTCATATAATTTAATTAAAGCTCCCATGCACATCAACCCCCATTCCGTAAAATGCTTATACTTACCATAATAATTCATTAGTTTAAACATAAGTTTAATTAACATGTGCGTTCACGTTAAATCGTATAATAATCATTTTTTTATGAAAGATTTCTCAGAGACTATTATTTTTTTGTTCGAAATCATGTGTTGAAACTTTTTCATTTCTATAAATGCTTTATTATTTCAAACGCCTATGAAGGGTCACCTT